TAATGACATAGATAGCCTGTTACGACGTTTGTCACACCCCAAAACCGAGAACGGCGGAAACGTTCTGGGGCGGAGGACGTCATGTATAGTATTACAACACAGTAATAGTAAATAAGCAAACAAACATCATCCATTGCATTAAATATATAATTATAATACACGTGTGTTCTGTATAAAGTAATAGACACCAAAAATGAATGATAAACGACGAGTCTTGTATGTGCTCCGTCTTCTCAAAAACTTGTCACCGGTACCTGTCTACTGATGAACTGGGAATAAAAGTTATTTTGAAAGCGAGTATCAACATTTAAGCTGGTGAATTCATAAGTATTTTAATGTATTTGATTTGTAGAACTATAAGAAAAGACTTGTAAATGATTGATGATACAATTTGTATAAGTGTGAAAACCCTAGAAAATCCCATATTTCCTACTAATATAAAAAGTAGTCTTCTACCAAGACCTGACTGTTTTGCATGTTTGTTTCTTTTAAAAGTATGTAATGTCCCCATGTGTAACTATTATTATCAAAATATAGTCTACTTCATCATTGATGTGAATGTGTCACAAAGTAAAAGTAAATGGGAAACATTATATAAACATGTAAGTATTATCCTTTGGTACTAGGATAAACACGACAGAGTAACTTGCCGAATAGTAGTAACCGTAGACATCTATCGATGTGCATTTTCCCTCTGTAGCTAACAGCTGGGTGTAGAATGGGTAGTCCCATACTTATATAACAATATCTAATCATATAATATGTAATAGTAACTCATCATATAGTATGTAATTGTATCTCTTCCTATAGTAAGTAATAATTTCTCTTCATATAGTATGTAATACAATTGTATAGACTCATGAATGAACTGACTCTTGTATATTCCATTTGTACTAGGAATAGTAGGTAGTATTTCACCAAGCTATACCTATTATAGTGTGCTAGTAATGTAGTTTGAAGTGTCCATGTAAGTTTATACACCTTTGCTATACAAGGTGTTGGAGCTGAAAACACAGCCATCCTATTCAATTGCATATATATATATATATATATATATATATATATATATATATATATATATATATATATACACACTTACTACATAAGTGTATGGATATGGTTTCTATGTATATATAAGTGAAAAAGAGGTTTTGTAATTTATTTAAAGGGTTTGAAATGAGAAAATAATCATGACTTGATGTCAGTTTGTAAAGCTATTCAAAGGCAGTTTGTTTGATAAAACAGTTTGAAAGTATAGTAAATCCATATGTTTTGTAGTTATTAATCACATGTGATTAATATAATAACTATGATAATCAACTTGTATCCCCCCCCCCCCATAAAGTATTTAAAAGCATGTAAGAGCATTTAAAAGGTTGTTTAAGGGGTATGAACTCACCTGAAATGAGTAGTTTGTTCGGGAGTGTTGGACAAGGTGCTAGGTGTCAAGTAAAGACTTGAACACACACAATGGTCCTAGTTATCATATAATAAGCATATATGTATCTAATTAGTCAATTAATAACTAATTAATCAAGTTAAGACACCCTAGGTCATGGAAACACTTTGATTCAAGTGCTATAGGTACCATAGGGTTGCATCTAAGGGTTGTATGGCATGTCATTGGAGTTTATGGCCCATGAACCACCCCTTTTATGGAGTTTACGGCCCATGACCATTTCCCCAAGAGTTTATGGTCGTAAACTCATGGTACTAAGTGCCAAATTGTGTTTTGAGGTCTTACAAGTCATGAATGGGCATCAAATGATCAAGTCCAAGCCTTAGGAAAGCATTAGGGGGATAATAAGACCACTTTGTGGAGTTTACGGCAAAATGACCATATTATTATGTGTTCATGGCTGTAAAATCGCTTAGGGACATGTTTTGATTGTTGTTTAAGGTCTTAAACACTACTAGGAAGGTTCACGGTTGGCATCCAAGGCTTAGGAAGGGACTAATGTCCATTTTACCACTTTAAAAGGGGTTTACGGCCCAAGAACATCCTTGGCCACAAACTCCTTTGTTCTTTTGTTGTTTGATGATTTTCAAGTGTTATCAAGTTCATATTAAGCACACAAGAAGCTAGGGCAAGTGTACACAAGATAGAAGCTTGATTTGGTGTTTAAGGTCCAAGAACACTAGTGTGTGTTCTTGGTGTTTTGAAGAACACTTGAAGATCTAGCTATAAATCAATAATGAATGGAGGAAATGATGTATAACTACTAGATGTCAGGTTATAACAACAAATCAAGTCAAGAAACACTTACGTTTTCGGAAAATCGAGTGAAGAACGGGATGATAGTTGAGAGAAAATGGAGGGTGTTCTTGAGAATGGAAGTTGGAAATGAAGAGTTTGGGGAGTAAACTCATGCTTAAGGCATGAGTTCACGACCTAGGGAGAGTTTACGGCCCAAAATCCAAATTTTTGGCCATGAACTCTTGGTTAGGGAGGAATGGGTGGTTTTGCTACTTCACGACCCGAGACGGTACTTCATTTCTTTCGTTCGTTTAAAGAATAAACACTAAAAATGCTCAAATGGACTTTTAAATTGGCTAACAATTATTAGAAATGTAATTGACTTTTAATTGAAGTGATTGACTTTAGAGTTTGTCCGAATGAAAATTTCGTGTTGTCATAACGTTCTTCAGGCGTTGGAAATATTATGACATTTGTCACCCCAGACCTGCCGGTCTAGCTGTTGCATGCAACTTAGGTGCAGGAATGTCACTCCCAATATAGATCTATATACAAGTATCACACTCTCTTTCCAAGAGATTCTGGTTTATTATTACAGGACTTTAACCCATACCCTAGTGGGTACAATGAAGTAGTGCCTCACAAATTTGATTTAACGATTTTATGTGTAGTGTGAATGAAAAACCCTTTTTGTAGTAGATATGAAACCCTCCTTAGTATGTTTGTGTTATTAATGAACCATAAACTATACCTATTATAGTTTATCATATATGTTTGTAATGATGAAAAATCCCTTATGTAAATGATTATTTCTTTTTCATTGAAATAAAATATCATGAAATATAATCAAAATGTATTTTTATATTGCTACACACCTTGCTCAACATATTACAAAGTGTAAATGAACTTGTAAATAATTTTTCTAGTTTTAATATTTCTATCACTCTTATTAGAAAAATTATAGAAAAATCATCGTAAGTTGAAAACTAGATCTGTAAACTCTGAGAGTTTAGAAAATGAGTCTACTTTGCTTATAATTTTTATTATGATTTTTAGTTGTCTCAAACTAGTGTGAAAATTTTCATCTTCACAGACTGGTCTGAAACCACTTTTGAAATGATAGACAGTTTTGTAAAAATCACTATAAATTGTAGAAATATCATACGAATGAGTGCAAGAAGTCATTAGAAAGGTATAAACGTGAAGTATTTTCATATTGAACAGTTTTGAAAAATATTAAGTTTAATATGGTCAAAACAGTTCGTGAATAGACCATGACTTTTCTGTTGAAAGTTGATGTTTGAGTTTAGAATATGTTTTGGTGTTGTAACTTGTATCCCCCCTTAAAAGTTTAAGAAAACTTGAAAATGTAGGGGTATGAACTCACCTTTTGTGATTTCTTGTGGTGGAAGGTTGAATATGGAGAGTTTCAAGTCAAGAACACTTGAAAGATGCTTGAAGATTTGAAGATCCTAAGAACAAATATGTAGATATTTGTGTAAATGATCCATGATTTGTATTAATATGTGAAGATTATGTAGAAGTTTAAATGAAAATACTTACCAAAAATGGAGGAATCACTAAAAAACTCCTGGAGAATTCGTGATTTAGAGAGAGAGAGAGAGAGATAGAGAAAGAGAGAGAGAGAGAGAGAGAGAGAGAGAGAGAGAGAGAGAGAGATAGATAGAGTTTGCTTTTGGTGAGGAGTGAAATCTTGGATGAGAAGTGAAAAAAATCTCTTGGATTTGTTTATAAAGGTTGATTGTATGGGAAGAGTGTTGAAGAAGCTTAATGAATTGACTAGCTAGATGTGAATAGTGACATAAAGTTGACATGAAGTTGGTTGGTGTCACAACTTTATGAGAAAAGTCAAAGAGATCCTTTATGTACTCTTGATATTATCCTAAGAAAAATATGATTTATATTAAATAAATCTTAAAAATGGGAATAAAATATGAGTTTAAAGGGTCTAAGATGTCAAACATATGGATTTGGGTGAAAATCCCACGCCAAAAGCATCAAAAACGGGCTCAAAATGTGAAACTGGTTAAAAACCGGGAAAAATAAGCGAACTTGCGAAGGGAAGGTCTGGTGCGAGAGGGTTCGCAACGAGGGCTTATGTGAGAGAGGGTCCCCTACGAATGTGAGGTTCAGTGCGAGCCTTGTCGGTTAGAAGCAGATTTGTTCTGTTTACATTAGAAGGAGCTACGAAAGCAACGTTCGCATCAGAAGTGAAGGCTCGGTCCGAGAGTGTGAGGTTCATAGGTAGTTCTTGGATGCGAGAGACTTCGCATACAGAGGAGGTTTTCGCACCCAAAGTGTTATTTTCCATATTATTTTCCCGTTTTTCGAGTGGTTTTCAACTATTTGAAGGGTTAGGATGGCCCGGGTGTTTATGAAAAAGTTGAAAGAGATTTTGAGAGAGATTTGGGAGATATAGCGAGAGAGATTGAGAGAGACTTTGTTTGTAGCATTTGTTAGTGTTTGGCCCCGTAGGGCAAGGTTTGTAAACCCCACTATGCCTCGTTATGAGTGTTGTTCACCCCCGAAGGATACGTAATAGTTTTTTATCGAGTCGTTACATCACTCACCCTATTTAGGGTTTAAGTTTTCTGAACATTTGAAACTTCCGAGTGATACTTTATATTAAGATAGAGAGTTGTACATTAGTAAACATAGAGTAAACCCTAACATACAAGCATTAGTTGTGTTGACCGGTTTGACTTGTTGACTTTGTTTGGCTTTGACTTGACCAGACATTGATGGCTGTCACACTCTCTCTGTTAAGCTAAATTATGTCACAATGCGTCTGGATCACCTAGAATCCAAGAAGACTTTATACCAAAGTTGTATTTCTAACATCAATCAATACTTGCACAGTCTTTTTCGAAACTCGCGATTCAATGCCTCCTATTTCTATCTGTAAGCACATCTCTGATAAACTTAAGTCGGTCTTCACAATGCTTAATTAGTTAGAGGGTTTTTTGGGATGTAGTGTTCTTTCGAAACAAGGGGAGATCAAGTTACCAAAGAAACTCGCAAAGAAGAACCCCAACCCCAGTCTAAGCCAAAATCCGATGAGCATCATCAAGGAAAACCAAAAGTAAACCACGAGGGTAATGAAGCTTCTGGGTCAAACGACAAAGGTAAAATGATCGATGACGATGAGGAAGAAGAGGTGTTATCTGAAGGAGAGAAGCTTATCAGGAAAAAGAGGGATAAAGAGCTCGATGATATTGAGCGTGTTCGTAAAGAACTTGAAGCTCAAGAAAGGGAGGTTGTGGCTGCGAAATTTACTTTGAAGACACAAGAGTCCATTTTTCCTCCATGGAACATGGAAAGGATTCAAAATGAGGCTATCGACAATCCAAGTTTGTATTGGTTGGAGCCTTTAGTTTCTTTTGACCTGGTGAATTCAACAGTGTCTCAATTTGGCTTTCTAGTCACTCCAAGAGCATTCTTATTCAGATGCTTTAATCATATTGAGAGGGAATCACTCTCGGATTATGATGTTAATCACATGCTCTTCTCGTTCTATATCAAGTATGGAAAGTCTCAACTTTAGATTTGGAGCTTACAGAAGTTGGTCGCAGTCAAGGTTTATGCAGCTTTTTCGGTTGAGAACTTCACAAATGTTAGGCTTAAAGGTTTTAGGGGATCAAGTCATACCGAAGTCGAGTTCACTCCTGCATATTTTCCATATATGAATCCGAACGATTGGATCTCACTGTTTCTGATTTTATCTAAGGATGAACAGAAGTACAAACCAATGATTGTTCACTTGAAAAGAATGTTGATATGCTACATTTACGAAGTGGCAAAGATGGATGCAAAAATTACTGCTGTTTTGAAAAAGAAGCTTGTTGTGAATCCATAACCAAAATCAAAGGACTTCCGGAAGTTGAAACTAGTGAAGATTAATAAAGAAAACCGGAACGTTGTATATCAACGAAGGGAAGGCGAAAAAGTTGTGAAAATCATGATCTTCTTGATTGACATGCATTTATACCATACAACTTCTTTAAACAACATTTTAGGTCTGGTTACAGCCACCAAGTCAAATAACGTTGATGATCTGAAGTGCTTCACGGACATGATCAAGTGGTATCTCATTTTCCGAAATACTCTTTTGAATATGATGAAGAAGTTGTTCCAAGTTTAGAAAGTACAACAATGAAGAATCTCCTTTCTTTATTTGACACAAAGGAGGATATTGTTGGGTTATTTATTGTATTATGTCAAATTTATTATGTACATATTTAGTCTTTATTAATGGATTGGGCTTGTCCATCCGTCATTATGATGCTAGGGTTAGACTATTTATAGTGCATGCATGTATAGTTATAGGGTTAATCGATTGTATTGCCCTACATTACTTTTACAGAAAATTCCTTACTGAACTCTTCTAAAGCTTTGATAATATTAAGCATTCGATACATCTTTGATTATTGTTCTTATTGTTTGATTCACTTTACTGTTATTGAATCTATCGATCTTTAAGTTATTGTCACAACATGGACTTACTAGTTAGTTACTTTTTTGGTTAAAGAAACTATTCTAACATTTTGTCCTTTTCTTAAGAGGACATGGCCAAATATTTTATTCAACCATGGAGGTTGCTTGTCAATCTCCCTCCTTTGTTCCCCATGCTTTTAAAAAGCTAGTATTACTTTATATTATTATATGGTAAAGGCTTTACTTGGATGGGACTATAAAAGAATGCATTAGGCTACCATTTTGGCTAGTTTTTTATTTCTTTTAAGTGAAAAATGAAATCACTCTTCTCCTTCCTCTTCATGTCTTTTTGAAGTCTATTAAAGAATTGATGCTTTGAATTTCTTCTCCTTTGGTGCTTATTTAAGATAAGCACTTAAAGGCTTAAGAAGTACTTCATACAAGATGAGAAGTAGCATTCCAAGTTCCTCACTCTTGATGGTGGATACATTGTAGAGATTTTTTTTTCTTGAGCTTTTGCTATCTTCACTAACTACCGCAATTCCAAGTGGGATCAAAGGCTTCAAAAGTTATATTTTAAAACATCTTATGGTTGTTATTATCTTTCTAGCTCATTTACTTGGATCCTCTTGGTGGTTTTGTTGAAATGATTTTCAAATAAACTAATTATTAGAAAAGTCTTTTGTTTGTCGTTCTTAAAATTGTTTTATAAAATTAATCATTTTTATTTATGAAAACCCATCAATGAGTTAATCTAAGTTGCATGGAAAGTATGAAAAAAGTTCACACAATGTGTTAATCTACCGAAAAGCACACATGATTTCAGATTCCATTTATGGGAGGATTTTAGCTTCGATTTGATTAAACGCAACTATCTACTTCTTTGATTCCATTAACCCTCAAGGTAGATTAGATATGAATACACATATATGGAATAGATTTTTAGAAATTGATTGTTCTTGCAAACCCATAAGATCTTTTTTTTCCATTTTTTTTTTAGATTTAGAATTTGATTTCAATTCCATAAACAAACCTAGAAAATTGATTGTTCTAAAAAATCTTCAAATCTAACCACCACTTAAATTGAACATAGAAACACAATGTTCGGTCGGTTAGGTCGGAGTTTCAGAAACAGAGACCTTTAGGACTGACTTCATGGTGGTGGTTGGGACTGATGAACTTCATGGTGTCCTCTGAAGATTGAAGGCACAATGATGGAGATGGTGGTAATTGATGACGAAGGAGCATATCGACAACGATGGTTGGTGGCGGCAGAGAGAAGATCGACAAAATCGAGCATATTAGAGCATCCATGTGAGGGTGATGGTAGTAAGTGAAAACAACGAGGGTCGGTGGTGGCACATTACATATCAGAGATGATGGTAATTCGGCTATGGTGAGCAGCGACGGCCGGTCTAGCTATGGTGTACGAAGACGATCCAACTTGGTTAGTGGTGGTAGTTACTTTGACGAGTGTGATTTTTTTGGAGGTGTGTTTAAAAGAGTGAAGATAGAGGATGAATGAAAGACAACATAAGCCTCCAAATGATCCTTATGGATCTGAGAGAGAGAGAGAGTGAGAGAGAGAGAGAGAGAGGCAATGAAATAAAAGAAGGACAATTTAGTATTTTCATGTTATTAAACAGAAAATTTAACAGTATTATTCATGAGGACCATTGATGTATAAAGTTTTATGGAAAAAAAACCATCCATACGAAAAGTATTTTATAATTAAAAACAAATTTAAAACTATAAGGACCATTTGTGAAATTTTAGCTATTTTTTGTTTTTACGGAATAGAAGGAATAAATAGATCCCAAATCCCACCGCGCGTCTCACACACAAGACTCTGAACGCGTGATACCTACTCCACCTTTCTTCTTGCTTTGAGAATTGGGGTAGGGTAGTCTGCACAAACACAACACACAGGAGTCGAAATCGGTTTGATTCAGTTTTTTATATATCCGTTCTTGATTCCGATTTCCTCTTCCTTGTAATTCCTGTTTATACGTCAGATCGGCAGCGTATATTCGATTGAGTTGTACCTCTATACTCTAGACGACAGACTGAAGGATGAAGGTTTTTGTCAAAACGTTGAAGGGGACTCACTTCGAAATCCAAGTGAAACCCGAAGACACGGTTTGTTTCGATTTACCTCTGATTATTTTTATGCAATCGAAATGTTTATACGTGCGATTCATCGGAGATTAGGGTTTTATGCGCTATTCGATCAGTAATTTAACTCGAGAAAGTTTATAGAGTGTTTTTTGTTTTTCGCTGTAGAGTTGTAACATTTAGGGATCTTTTAGAAGTGTTTAAGCATGGACTTCTCAATCGTTCTGTTTTCTTTTTTCCTGTGAATTCACCGAAATTAGAGTAAATATTGGGAGAATTGGATTCAGTAGTCTCTCGTAGTAGGTATAATTGCGTGGTTGTGCTTAGTTGATATAAGAATTAGTTGGATTGTGAGATATAAAACTGGTGGTCATACGATATTGCGCAAGCTGAAGCATGTTTCTTGCTTATGCAGCCATGTACTTGGTTACTTGTGTGTAGGTTTATTTTATCCAATTTGGGAATCCTTTTGTGGAAAGATGTGAAATCCATATAGGATTGTGCCTGGTTACTGTTATGCAGGGAGATAACCAGATTGGCTTACACAATCCTATATTTGATTACACTTAGCTGAAACTCATCTCATTTAGGAAATCAATTAAACTACAACTTGTTGTGAATTCAATTTGCTGTATTGTGTTGTAGATAGCTGTATATTTGATCATATAAGGTACCATTCTTTATTGAGTTAGTTGATATGCGCATCATTAGTTCACATTTGCCTAGGCTTATCAATGAACATGCACTATTGGATATCATGTTGTTGTTTTTGGAAAAAAAAAATGAATTTTATCACGATCGATGATGGTTTTCTTGATAATGCACATTTTTTGGGTCAATTTTATTTCTCAACTTTTTTAAACCTAGGAAGTTAAATGTTGAGTTGTTAAAATTGTTAATTGCAATCATTATATCACTATAATATGTTTTTCTTGTGCGATTATATAGTTAAGATGATGATTCCTTCTATCTATGTGTAATCTCTGCATGCATATAAACGATTGATAACTTGACTTTCCTCTTTTAAAAAATTGATACAAGGCCTCCATTCTCACAGTCTTTCATCTTTAAAGATTCTTATTCATTTCTTGAAAATATATCTATTGAAGTATTTTTTTTTTCAGCCTATTCTTAACTCACTTTAATGAAGGAATTATTGACTTTTTATGTATATTTTACAGAAAATCATAAGATTATAAAGATTAGAGCGCTTCCAGTAGTAATTATTATTGTAGGGTTCTGCATGGCAAGTGTATTTATTTACCTTAATATTGTTACTCTAAATGCATATGTAATCCAATGTTTTCATCATTTTAATCCAATGTTATATTACAATCGAAAGTGTTTACAAAGTATTTAATGATATAAATGACTAATTATTATTATAAATCAGGTTGCTGATGTGAAGAAAAACATTGAAACTGTTCAAGGAGCAGATGTTTATCCAGCTGGACAACAAATGCTTATTCATCAGGGGAAAGTTCTTAAAGATGGAACCACTTTGGATGAAAACAAAGTTGCTGAAAATAGTTTTATTGTCATTATGTTATCCAAGGTAAATATATATGAAAACCATATCCATGAATTTCTTCAAGGGTAAAATAGTAATTTCATCTTCATCTTCATCTTCATCTTCATCTTCATCTTATCTCATTTATTACCAAACACTACATTCGTTACAGAACAAAACCACCTCCGGTGAAGCTTCAAGATCAGCACCCGCCCCGAAGGCGGCTCAGCCAAGTGCTGCCCCCCCCGCTGCCGCCCCGGTGGCTGCAGCCCCTCAGCCTCAGGCGGCTCCTGTTACCGTGACACCGTGAGTTTTACTTTATATAAATCCTCTTGTATTCAGTTTATAAAAAAATAAAATTTCCATTTCTGCCCCTGACTCCATGCAGACCTGCCACCGCGCCTCCACCATCAGACACCGCGATAGCTCCGCCGGAAAATGTGTATGGGCAGGCGGCATCACATCTGGTTGCAGGAACCAATTTGGAAGGTGCAATCCAACAGATTCTTGATATGGGTGGCGGGACATGGGACAGGGACACTGTCATCCGTGCCCTTCGTGCCGCCTTCAACAACCCTGAAAGAGCTGTTGAATATTTATATTCCGTAAGTACCCCTGAATCCTCAACTACTTATTTTATCCATTATATTTAATCCTTTGAATAAAAAAATAAAATAAATGGTTAATGTTATTCTATTTATGATGTGATTGTCAGGGTATCCCTGAGCAAGCTGAAGCTCCACCAGCAACCGCTGCCCCACCAGTGCAAGGACCGCCAGCTGTCATCCCCCAAACCACACAACCGCCAGCTGTCCTTCCAAGTGGCCCAAATGCAAATCCTTTGGACCTCTTTCCTCAGGTATGCAAATTAGGGTTTAGGTTGGAATTTTTGATTTTTTATCCAACTATTGACTTTGTCCACATTTGGTCCCTAAACTTTGATTTTTTTTGGGTAGGGTCTTCCTGATATGGCCGCCAATGCTGCGGCAGGTGGTGGTGGTGGAGGCAACTTGGATTTCCTGAGGAACAGCCCTCAGTTTCAGGCTTTCCGGGCAATGGTTCAGGCGAATCCTCAAATCTTGCAGGTATTTTATTTTCTCTTTTATAGCATTATTTACTTTCTATTTATTTCTCTTGAATTATAAATATGTTTTATTATTTTATTTTTGTATTTTTTTTAGCCGATGCTTCAAGAATTGGGGAAGCAAAATCCGCATCTTGTTAGACTGATTCAAGAGCACCAAGCTGATTTCCTCCGTTTGATCAATGAACCCGTTGAAGCTGGAGAGTATGTTTGTTTTTATGTTTTTATTTTGGAATGTAAGGGTAAAATGGTCATTTACTCACACCATAATTGTTCCCAACACAGGAACCCACTCGGGCAGCTTGGGGCAGCCGTGCCACAGTCGGTGACCGTGACACCTGAGGAGCGGGAATCTATTGAGCGTGTAAGCTGTTTCTATTCATTTGATTTGAATTTTGGAATATGATAACATTTGATTTATTTATTTATTTATTTATTTATTTATATAAAATGAATGTGTGTAGCTTGAAGCGATGGGATTTGATAGGGCGTTGGTGTTGGAGGTGTTTTTTGCATGCAACAAGAATGAAGAGCTGGCTGCTAATTACCTGTTAGATCATATGCATGAGTTTGAAGAGTAGTAGTGAGAGATCGTCTTTTCTTATATTTCTATTCAAATTTCATGTCATCTGTTTTAATTTGGTGAGAGTGAATATACTTGTTAATGGGGATGAATGGATATGGAGTGATGCAAAACAAGGAAAAAAAATTCAAATGCAACTCAAGTCTTTGGTCTTTTTCTTAGCATTGGTTTCTTTTCACCTTGTGGTCTTTATCCAGGACTAGAATTGAGACAAGACTGATAATTATATATGTTGGACTGAGACTGATATTTAGGTGTGACAGATAGCTGTGTGTTTGAATTAGGTTGGTATATTAGGTTTTAGAAAACAAAACCATTTAATTATAATGAAAGAATAAACAAAACATGAAAATCGACCTAGAAACAATTAAGGTGAATGCCATCTTTTTGTTTCAAGCAATTATAATTTTCTTTTCTAGCCAATGATGTAGTTTAGTGGAGCAAAAAGCTTTTATGGATGTGTCATTGACTCCGAATGACATAACAGTAGGAAGTCCATAATTTAACTAATAGTGGTGGATGTACCTTAGGGTCAGGAAAAGACAACACACCATTTATAACCAAGGCAAATGTTCAATATGTCCAAACACTTTTTATACGCATGCCTTTTTTAACCAACCAATCTTACAATTTAAACAAGATGAAAAAAATAGTTTATAGCTAGTTGGATTAATATTATGATACAACAATAGCAATAGCAGCTGTTCCGCTTCCGTCTTAGATTTTTAAAATATTCAAAATTTAATAGAGTATTCAAATCCGTCTTAGATTCGACCACCAAGACAATATCAATAAAGAGTATACATAAAGTTGCTTTAGGTAGATCTCATCCAAGATCAATGAAAAGATATACGAGCTAAGAGATGGACTCTGATAGAGCTCAATTTCAACCGAGAACGATTCTCTGTTTTGGAATGAGTCCAAAACCGATCATTATATATATATATATATATATATATATATATATATATATATATATATATATATATATATATATATATATATAGGTTTAGGTTCATTTGAGACCATTCTAATTTTGTGAGACTGTGAGACCAAATCTAAAAATAATTTTAAAATGCAAAATAAATGGAAAAATCAAAAAATTCTTTTTTTAAATATTATTTTCGGAACATGAATTAACTAAAAAAAATAAAAAATGCGTCTCACGGTCTCACAAAATATAGGTGGTCTCAAATGAACCTAACCCTATATATATATATATATATATATATATATATATATATATATATATATATATATATATATATATATATATATATCCATTGCATATCTCTTGATGATCCCTTTAGCTTCCAAGGACCTCCAAATCACCTCATAAGATACACTATCATATGCCTTATCAACGTGGTTGGACACTATATAGAGATCCATATTTCTATCTATATGTATATTTTTCTATATAAGCTGTCAAAAGAGTTGGATCGCCGCAATCGTCAACCTCTCACATATGAAACCAAATTGGTTTTCTAAACCCGTCATGACACTACGTAACCTAGCATCTAGTATTGTCTTTCCCGTAATTTCATGGTATTACTAAGCAAGTTAACATATCTATACTTCCCATAGCTTCGTGTGCCACTTTTGTTTTTCATCAATTGGGATCACAATACTTGATCTTCGTTAGGGGTGCAAACGGGTCCGCTCGATCTGAATAGAGTCGAAGATCCAAAAATCACATTGATATTTTAGTGGAATCCGGAACCATATCGATATAAAACAACTTTGGACCATTTAGAACCGGATTTACCGTTGGAAATAAGTTGGAATCAGATTTGAAAGCAAAATTGGGTTTGAAATTGGAATTGAGATTTTTGGAACCACATTTTACTAAATGGAAAATGTTTAAAATTACCAAGTTCTATGGGCTGACAATGTTAGTAGGGTTTTACCCCTAGACCAAACAAAATTCACCATTTGTAAAACAATGAGAAATTTGAAGGATATGATATTTATTATCCACTTACCATTAGGGTGAGGGTGCACAAGAAATAGGGGTTATATATCTATGCAGAAAATGATCAATTTGATTCCATAAACGATATAAATTAGTGTCGTCGATTAATGCTCTTTAATTCAACTCTAGGGTTCTTTATTTGATTCTTGTTATTGATTGATCTTGTGCGTATCCGAGAGAATTAGAATTGTAATTTTTTTTTTTTTTTTAGTTTTTTATAATTTCGGTTCATGTACTAAGAGTCCATGAGCATGTATGGTTATTATTATTATTATTATTATTATTATTATTATACATAAGACCATTAAACTTCTGGGTCTAGGTCTGGATCTGGGTCCTTATACCAAGTTATCCATATCCGATGGATCCAGACCCACTGTACCTCATACCAAGTTTATGATAACCATGATACCATTAGGGTGAGAGTGCACAAGAAAGAATGGTCATATATATATATATATATATATATATATATATATATATATATATATATATATATATATATATATATATATATATATATATATATGCAAAAAATGATCAATTTGATTCCATAAACGATATGAATTAGTGTTGTTGATTAATACTTTTTAATTCAACTCTAGGGTTCTTTATTTGATTCTCGTTATTGATCGATCTTGTGCGTAACCGAGATAATTAGAATCATAACTTTTTTTTTTAACTTTTTTTTTTTAGTTTTTTATAATTTCGGTCCATGTACTAATAGTCCGAGAGCATGGATGTTTTTTTTTTTTACTTGAGGCCATTAAACTTTTGGGTATGGGTCTGGGTCCTTATACCAAGTTATCCATATCCGATGGACCCATACCCACTATACCTCATACCCAGTTTAGGATAACCATGATACCCGATACTCATACTTGTTAAACATATATCGATTCCAAATGGTTATAGTTCCGAATCGGGTTTTCGGGTTTGCATCTCATCCCTAATCTCCACTCCTTATGCATCTTGCATTCCTTGATATAATGCTAAATAGGTTTGTCATCCACTAGCTGACCCTTTCTCCCTAAGACAATGTCACGTACTAATAGGAAATTGATATGTACCTATTACAAGATCTATATGCTCAATAATCTTTGTAAAACGATATTTTCTAGAGATGTGAAAAAAGGATGTCAAAGTCGTTTTCTTGAATGTTCATCTTAGCAAGTTTATACAGTGCAACCAAAAAGGCTTTGTGAATCCAAAGCATCTAAAGAGAGTGTTAAAGATTCAAAGATCTATCTATGATTGAACCAAACATCTAGAAGTTCAAATATTTTATTCAATGATAAAATCAAAGAGTTCGAAACTATTTGTGTTTGACCTACTATTACTGGTAAGGTTTAAGCATTTCAACAAATGATAAACGATTTCACACGAAGTAATGATGCAAAGTGGAAAACAAAGACAATCAATTTACATGGTTCACACCATCAGGTGATCGGTTACGTCCACGACGAACACAATATATATATATATATATATATATAGAGAGAGAGAGAGAGAGAGAGAGAGAGCTAGGTTCAAATGTTTCCAGCAAATATTGTGTTTCTAAATGCACCAGTCACAATTTAGCAAATAATTAAACAATTTATTAAATAAATAATGATATTTTTGGGTTTTTGGCACATTCAATTAATGAGTTTATTTAATTAAATCCCTTCAATTAAGGAAACAAAATAATTAGGTTTAACCCAATCTCTCTCTTTTATCTCACGTCTTCTTCACTTACAAAATAACAAGAAATCAAAGGAGCCGAATTCACAGTTTCACCATCATCTCCATCGCCGATCACCACTCGCACATACACACCACCACCAAGTTCTTCATTCTTCAAGGAATCAAAGGGATTCAAAAAACTATACAGGTACCGATCACATGGTTGTTCTTCTTCTTCACCCAATTGTCCATCGATCGTAACAGAAAAAGAAATCAAGCAAGTCGGTTGTTTCACAAGCGGCATAACACGACTTCACCACCAGTGCAAAAACTAGACGACTCCACCATCGTCTCCATCGTCCTTATTCCCTTTGGCTACTGGCCCCACCATCGGCTATTACGCTTTGCTACATCTGTGGTACGACCTAAGGTTTCTACCGATCATTTAAGGTTTGAAATTATTATTTGTGCAATTATTAATTTATAGATATATGTTCCGGGATAACTATTATTATACACTAATTAATAGATGATTATGAAATTTGATTTGGATTTGTGTGCAATAAAAGACCATTAATACGAAGGAGCACTTGTAAATTCCAATTCAATTTCTTCCGGTTGGATTTTTTCCTTTGACGACGCTCATGTTCATTGGATTTAAAAAAGATTTGTGTTGAATTTACAATTTATATTCCTTTGTGTATTAGTTTATGTCAAACCCAATATACATTGAATTACTTGGATTAGAATTGACACGAAGGTATTATAAATTACACGAAGGTATTATAAATTATATTCTAATTGTTACTGATTGATTTTATATAATTGATTGGTTTTTATATTAATCCAAAATCACACAATATTGTGTATATACTGATGGGGTTGATTTCATATGCCAAAACAATGAATTAATTTTATTTGATTTCATATACCAACATGGTAAAGGTTTAAAGTCTTCGTTCCTAAACCCAATACAGTTAAATCCTCACCCTTCAAATTATGAATTTTATTTTGATTATCAAAATGATTTTGATCAATTAAGAATCCAGTTCTACCAGAATTGAATCCAGTTCGATCGGAATGGAATCAAGAATTTCAATTCTGTTGGAATGAAATCATGATATTTCATCACTAATTCACAATAAAATTTTGGTCACTTCTTCTATTAATATAGTAGTTTTCTGTTGCACTCACATCTCGAGGATTGAATCAAGTTTTTTTGGTTTGTTTAACATTCTAAATTTTCATTTTGCATTAATATATAATATTGGTGAGGGGTCATTCTACCTGAATTGAATCTTGTTATGTCGGAATGGAATCAAGAATTTCAATTCTTTTGGAATGGAATCATGATATTTCATCATTAATTTGTGCATTATCTACAATTATTGGTTATGGATTTTGGAGCAATTCACAGGTCTTTAGATTTGTACAAAAGGCTTTAGTTTTTTATTTTTCATTTGTTGATGTGTTATTGGGTTCTAAACTAGAATTCATTTCACAGATGTTTGAAGAACGAACTACAAAATTGAAAGTGATTCTCAGCAACAATATTC